GGCGTGTCCTCCAGCAACCTTGTCCTTCAAGACTGTTGCCACCGTATAGAGACACTGATAATAGGCAAGAAAAACAGCCGAGTTGCAGTCTACCTCCAGGGAAAGCCCTCTTTAAATGCATGAAGGCAGCCTGACCGCTCAGCCTGGGGCAGCCAGGTGGGAGTTGTGAATGTTTTGCAACTTTCACCAGCATTAGGTGGAGCACCCGTAGCTCCCAGCCCAGCGCAGGCTCCTGCACGCTCCCAAGCACAAACGTGGGGGCTTCACAGCTCCCCTTAAGCACTTTTGAGAGCACAGCCGCTTCAGCAGCAGGCAGAAGAGAAGCGTTACCACAGAAGTGCCACCTTCAGATAACAAGGAAAGTGCAGGGCCCTGCACCACCGACCAGCACAGCCCCAGGGACCTCAGGCTGGGAATAAGGCACACGCTTAACACAGCACAAGCAAGACAACAGCTCATCCTCATCCCCCTGCCCTCAAGCCCACAAACCCCGATAACCTCTACAACCACAAAATCATCACGTTACTAAACCTGCACAAAAGACCAAAATCTCAGCCTCCTGGTGAGCTCAGACACCTCTGCTCAGAGCAGCAGCAAGGAGCAAAGCTTTCTGCTGCTTCCCAACCTCAGCACAGCTCAGGAAACCCTCTGCAAGGAGCCAGCACCTACCCCAAAACAAACTCCAGCAAGGCAGCAACCCCTCCAGGTGCAGCAGCTTTAGAGGAGCTGTCAGCCCTGAAGAAGCTTCAACAGGGACCAATTTCCTGGTGGGGCAATAAACATTGTTCTCTCTGAGGTGTTTGATGTTTTTAACCAGCTTGGAAGGAGTTTGACTCTCCAGCTCCCTGCGAGAAGGTGGAAGGAAACCATGTGAGTGTCTTGAGGTTTGTTGTCTAACTCAATTAACCAATTGCTTCCAGGTCAAGAAGGGGCAAAGCTATAAATGCTGCTTGCTGCTATAAATAATGTTTGCTCAAGGGTGATGCGGGAGCGGGAAGTGTTAGGTGTGGGGTTTTAACTTGGGCTTGAAATGAAAGCAAATATCACGAATTGCTTCCTGCTTCAAGGAAACCTGTCGCTATTTTGCTGTTGCCTCTCGGAGGCTGAAGTGAACCAGCGCATAGAGTTGGCTCTTGCCTTGGGAAATGTGTGCAGGAATTCAGGCTGGGGAATGAGTACACAAATGTCCCTCCTGTGCTGCAAAACTCCCCTCCAAGCATGGCTCACTGTCCTGGGGTAGGACCCTCTGTGGATCAGCTGGATGTGTCTACCTTTAAAATACAATTATTAGACCAAAATGTCCATTTATTGTAAAAAAAAAAAGGGGGGAGCAAAGCCTAGGAGAAATGGATGCAGATTTCTTAGAGCTCAAACAAGAACAGACAAGTCGGTTGGGGCAGATGGAGGCAGGAATTTTCCACGGGGCCTTAGGAAATTGGGCTCCAGTGAAAAGCTAAACAGAGCAGAGTGGGTGGTGGGGTGGCAGTGTGTCCCCTTGGAGGGGCCTGGGCTGGCTGCGGGGCAGGCGCAGGGAGCACAGCGTGGCCGTGGGGTGCTCCAGCTGCCCAGACGGATGGACACCCACCCACAGACACGTGGGGTGACTCCGTGTCCGCTCTGCTAGCGGCACCGTGTGAATTTTTTTTCTTGGGCCCAAACCAGAGACATGTCGCTTCACCCAGGACCTCGGCTCCTAAAAGAGAAGAACCAGTGTCATGGGGGGAATTAATTGGTGTTAAGGGAGAGGTTCTTCCCAAGGGGCAAATTAGCCCACCAAAAAATTAATGAGTCCCTGGAATAATGCGTAACAGAGCAGTATCAGCCAAATGTCTCCCCCCAAACTGCGGTACCTGCGGCCGGCCGGGCTGTGTGTTGGGGGGGGCCCTGCAGGCTGTTGCTGGGCTGGCCCCAAAAGGGCTCATGGAAACCCATCAGCAGAGGGACCGGGGCGTGCTGGAGCTCAGGTGACCGCAGGTTTCATGGGTGCTGCGTTCCACTCCCACCCTTGGCAGATCCTGGGCACATACCCTGTGGGTGCTGGAGGGTATGAGCTTGGGCACATACCCTGTAGGTGCGGGAGGTGGTGGGTGGGAAGCCCACCTTGCTATCGAGTCGAGCCCCACCAAGCAGCGCTGCTTTTGCCTCCTGCTAGTCTGGCCTTGGCTGTTTGTTCATGGGGAACCTCCCTGGCAGGAGGCAGCCACAGCTGAGCCCTGGGCCCCTGCTCACCCTGAGCTGCCCTACGTTTCACTTCCAAGCTGGGGCGCACAGCCCTTTCTGTCCCTGCCATCCCTCTGGCTGCGGGTGTTGCTTCTCCCAGCCGATGAGAAGCCGTGCTGACCCATCACCCTGTCTAACCGCCTCTTCCCTCTGCTTGCTCGGGAACAGCTGCCGGAGTGAATCATTTCAGCATCCTCAAAGCACGGAGAACTCTGCCAAGCTTCGTGTGACTTCTGGCTGTCACTCCGCTCCATCTGTGTTTCTCCCTGGCCATTTTACATCCCGCAGCCTTTCCTGCAGTCCCCGACGACCCTTGCACGAGCAGGTGGGTGCTATCGCCACAGAGCTGACATTGGAGGCTCTTGGGCCGCCTTGGGCATTTTAGCTTTTGCCATCCTGCCCATGTACACAGATTCACAGGTTGTTTTGCTGTCCTGTTCGCTCTCTGCCAGCCTGTGAATCAGGGACCTTTTGCAAAGAAGGAGCAGCATGATCCAGGGAAGCTCACAGGACATGCTGGCCACCAGCGGCCCCTTGGGGGAGAACAGGTCCCCCGTTTCTTGCTCCTGCTAGAACAGCTCCTCTCCGTTACTGCCACGTAGCTCACGTGGCAAGTGCCAAGGCGAACTTCACCCTAGAGCTCTCTTTGTTACCACTCCAGCCACCCAACACAGCACCAGCAGAGACAGTAAAACCCCTTTCCTCTTCATCAGGGTGAGGAATGTGTGTTTCTTTCATGAGTTAAAAAAAAAAGTCTATTTTAGGGTTTTTAATCATAGGAGGAGCTTGGCCAATCTCAGCTGTCCAGTGCTTGGGGGAAGTTTTGTGCTGCTGCAACCTTCTGCTGTGGTGATACTGAGTCATCGGCCACAAAGCTGACCTGTTGTTCGAGTTGCAGATGTCAAAACTTGACTGCAGGCTGGAGAAGTCTGAGTGCCACCACTTTTTCCAGGCACTCGGGTGTCTGTCCGGATGATGGATATGGAAGAGTCACAGACTGGCCTTCGCTGGGACTTTTCCCTTCACCATGGGCCACGTGCGGGCAAACCACATCGGCGCTGCTTCTGCCCTGCAGCCAGACAGAGCGTGGTGCCACTGCGGGGGAAGTCTGGCAAGGGAGTGTGCCCTCAGCCTCACCCAGCAGGAGATGGGGGCGAGCCCGGCTGATCTACCGCAGCAAATAAACACCCAGATAGACACGGCAGGTTGCCTCGTCACCTGGGATGATTTTAGAGGAGAAGCTAGAAGGGACTCAAGGACTGAGGGTAATTTGGTTTAATGCAAAAGTATTCAACAACCCTTGCTTTTTCTGCATGAGCTGCGCACTTCTCATGAGCCAGAGATAATTACCCTGCCTTATCTGCTCACATCAGCGCAGCTGAACCAAAGTTTCCCCCCAACCCAAACATGATGCAGAGCTCGTTTGGACAGCTTTGCCTTCGAGTTAAAAAGTAGGCGGCTTCCAAAAGAGTAAGTTGCATGTTTTGTTGTTCTCCCTGCCATCTCCTCCCTCCTCTTCCAGTTGAATACGCTAACAAAAATACTGCACGCCGTTTTAATTTTCAATCACATTTTTTGAAAATGAATTCCAAGATACAGTACAGCATCTTAGTGTTCTACACAAAGCAAGCTTTCAGCAAAAGGTCAGAGGATCTTAGATGGTGTAAAAATAGATCTTAAATAAAATAGTTTCTATAGGAGAGCAAGCTGTCTTGTACATCTCTAGGTCCTTAGAATAATTTACAGAAGGCAGAGGCCTGGTTGTACAATCCACACACTAGAAAAGAGTTAGTGTACATTCATGCTACAAAGTTAGAAAAGGTAGAAGAAGTTCCAGATGATTGGGGCAGATCTCCAAACCCAAGCAGTGGATGCAATGAGTGCACTAACAAGCGCCCTGTATTTCAAAGTGAGGAAGTTCAACACTTCCAGTCCATAAAGTCAGGAAGCAGATTATAACGACTCGCCTTCCGAGAGTCATTCTATTTATTGTAACTCAATCCTTTCAATTGGCCAAAAAGAACAACTTCTAGCAATAAAGGACTAGCTGTTTTATTTCTTCGTTCCAGTTTGGAGCTGGTAAGTCTGAGCCGCATTTTCAATGTTACAGACTAAGATCACGGCTGTTCCTGCAGTTCAAACAACAGGAAAGGATCACACTGTGGTCTGAAAGGACAACTGTGGGACACCCCCAGCCGTTTTTAATACAGGATTAGCCTTTAAATGCTCAGATTGCCGAGCGCAACACAGCAACCAGGACAGTCGCTTCTCCAGCCAGGGGAAAACTCTTCCCACCCCAGAGCATCAAGTCTACTATATATTTTAAGTGAAAACCAACCAAAAAAATCCCCAGATTTGTCCACAAATTCCTTTACGAGATCTGCGTACCTTTGGGGCAAACAACATGAAAGTTTTGCCAGCCAAGATTTTGGCCAGAGCCACGTTTCAGAGCAGAACAGGCAGTGCCAAGTGATGCCAGGAACTGGAAACAACAGCCGCATCTAGTGGCGAGGGCGCAGTCACTGGGCACCGTGCTCCGCTCCGCCACAGCCCCACAACTGCGGGCTGGCAGCTATGGCAAAGGCTGGGTACAGGCATGTAGGAAGAGTTTTTAAAATGCTGCGTTAGTCATTCTCCTCACCTCGTTTTGAGGACAGCAGCACTGGAGCTTATGCCAACGTACCCCTAGTGCAGCTCGTGGAGAGAACGCACACGCAGCCTGCTCCAGGAGGGCCAGAACACTGCGGCAGCTTTTAATACATAACGGGCATCAGTCTTCGCAAAGATGGCTCTACCTAATTTGTAGAAATGCCTGTAAAATAACCACAGTCATCAGTGTCCAGAATATAAAACTTTCATGCTTTCTGCCCCAAAGGCAGCAAGCACTGGTCTTTCAAAGGCCATCGTTACAATGAAGAAAGAGATAGTAGCCAAGCCCCTTAAAGCATTTAATATCCTAGATTACAAGCCTTTAGGACTCGCTCAGTTTCTTACACCACTAAGAGAGTTTATTTTCCACACCTCACTCCTTTTTATTTCCAAACTACAGTTCTACTCCTGCACTAGCAGTTCTGCAGTGTTAGGACCGCACATACTAGGAGGAGATGTATATAATCTAATTTACACCATTTATTAAATAAAATCATTTCTTACTTGAGAATACTTTTAATCCAGGAGAAGAACTGGAGAAGCCTTACACACTGGGCCTAGCCTACTCTACAGCATCCCCGTAGGGAATGCGATCTTTAACATGTACACACCCACCCACCCCAAAACAGTACACTCTCCAAGAAGAAAGTCAAATGCATGATAAGAGGGGCTTTGAAAAGGTAGGAAGGCAAAATGGTCATTAAGATCTGCCTAAAAATAGCTAAATAGTGCAGTGAAATGCTTTTAAATACCACAGACACCTCCACTGACTGGCAGCCAGTTTTATGAGCAGCTCTGAAGACAATTTCTAGCTGAGCTTTAGTGAACTGGGTGTACCCAGCCAGAGTCCCAAGAGGTGAGCCTGGCCTACCACCAGCACAGCCAGTTTCAGTCTGGGAGCAGAGCATTGCGATTTTCATTTGCCCCTCTTGCCACGGCCTCTCCTGGAAGAAGGTTTGCCCGTGCCCCCCGTGGAGGAGCTGGCAGAAGATGCCACTGCGATGTTGATCTGTCCTTCCTGAATCTCCTGTCGGGTCTCAGCTGGGAGGTGATTGATTTTCTGTTGCGTCTCTAAGTAGAACATGACATCCCGCAACTGCTCCTGGATCTCAGAGATCTGCAGGTCCTTCTGTTCACAGGTTTCCTTTAACACTCTCTCCTCCTCCTTTAGTTTGTTCTGAAGCAAGGCTTGATTCGCTCGCAAACACTTATTCAGTTCTTGCTCCTCCTTCAGCTCGTTGGAAAGTTTAGCCACTTTGTTATTCAGCTGAGAACACCTTACAAATAGAAGCACAAGTCAGGAAAGCAGTGCACTACACCAAGGTCAAAACCACTACTGCATCCTTTTTATTTCCAATCCCTTAGGGCAACTGACCCCTAGCTGTCCCCAGCCCCACCAAGACCTCCTGGAAGCTATCCTTCTGGCAAAAGATGGGCAAGGGGAGGCAACACAAGAGGATTCTGAAATCCCCCTAGGATTTTCTACCCAGCTGAAGGCTCACTAGCACCTGTTTGCCTGCATGGCATTACCTGCATACGGAATAGCATGCTGTGAAGCAGAATCCCTTGCTTTGTCCCTCAAAACGCACAACCCGTGAGAATCCCTTCTCTTGCAAGTTAGGCAATTCCATCCTGTACCAAATGCCAACAGTGCAGGCAAAGGGCAGGGTGTGTTTGGGAGCACGGGACTGTAACCTTGAACACGCATCTGCAACTTATGGAACAAGCGCCAGAAAGGGCACAGAGATTACATGGGGTCCTGAGAAAGCTAAGGGCAGTCAGGGATTCCCAGATCCTGGCTCTTGCCACGCTCCGAGTACAAGACCCTAAAGATACCACTTCTCTCAGAAGAAAGGCGCTCCCACAAGGCTATCAGTAGCCTCATGTTTCAGACAGCGCTTCCCTGCTCCTAACAACTGGGTGCTTTTGCCCTGAAAGTTTGCTGGCATCATACACAGACTCCTTGCCACTCAGCAAGGTGAGCGGCACAAACCACAGCTCACTAGCCAGGGTTCCCTGCTCCAGCCAGGACTGCAGGAGCGGCAGCAGTGCCAGGGGCCCGGTGGGCTAGGAGGAACAGAGCAGGTAGTCCCACCTAGGGAGCTGGAACACCCCAATCCCCACAGTCCCTACGCTCGACATCTTTCACCTAGGCACTTCCCAAGATCTACGTTTTTCTCTGTGCTGGGTGAGGTCCCTCTGTTGAGCTGCATTGCTTCTCTTTGGATGTATCCGCCAATTGCAAAACAGACTGGCATCTACTTCTGAGCAGGCAGAGGAAGGATTACTGAATGCTAAATATGCAGACCATGTGAAAAGAGCCAAGAGCCCAAAAGCTGTGTTCCACTCAACAGGCACTTTCCATTTGTGAACACCTACAGAAATGAGAGCTTTTTTTAAAATAAGCTGTGTTCTCAGTATACCAGTTTAAATAGCTCAAAATTGCCCAGGAATAGCAAGATTTTTTTTCTTATTTTTGGATGTCAGTGTGTGGAGTTTTAATGGCTGTATGGAACTAAGCCTGGCAACGGTACCCACTTCCTTTCGACAGACTGCTTTTCTTTGAGCAAGTCATTCAGCCTCTGTTCCAGACTGTCACACTTCTCAATGGTCTCTTTAAATTTGGTCTTCATGTTGTTAATCTGTAAAAACAAACACACAGGCATTTCAAACAGATCAAAGTCCTCTGCACGTTCATTATGACATTCAATTTTCTGGAGTGGTTTCTAGACTTCGACCAATTTCTATATCCAGGTAAGCAAAAGTTTTGAGTGAACAAAAGGCTTAATTTTGATGAAGACCCTCTGCATTACACTTCGGAGTACCCCAACAAGAAACCACGTTGCCGTGGAAGCTGCTCACACAGAACAGCAACTCAGGCTGCAAATCTGTGCCAGGAACCCCATTCAAACAAAAGCTGCATCAGATCCTTAACTTCTTATTGACTGCAGTTAAGCATTCATTTAGCCATTCTCTCACACGTTTTTGTATCTGTCAGCAAACTTACATTTCCATCTTAAGGATTTACAATGCCGGGCTTTTGCTCATTTTAAACTAAACCTTAAATAAGTATGGTCAAAGTCTGAAAATTGACATGCTACTTTGCTCAGCAGTGACTCAGCAGCTTGCCGTCATAAGGCAGTGACCTACTGACACGAATATCTTACTCATGCAAAATGCAAACAGAAACAGACGTACAGCGGCTTCCTCTTCACATCTACTTCACAACTTGAGACTGCTACTGCTGAAGAAAACCAAGCTCTCATTCTCTAGACGCTGCACAGAACGCATCAAAACCTCTAACTTACAGGAGATTTATAGACAGAAATACTTGGTTCCCCTATATTAGTGTCAAAAGCATGCTTGTATGTAGCGGAGGCAGGAATTTAAAGGAAAAATGCTTTCCTGAAGGAGAAATCTGGATAAATGCCAGTGTCGGCACCCATGGTGCCTTCACTGATGCCAGAGTCAATGCAGAGCAGGATTGAAGCCTTCTGGCCTTAATCAGTGAATGTTTATGCAGCTGATGGTTAATTTGGGGAAGTAGCCTGAGCACGGATAATGCAATACACTGCATAGTGGCACTGATCCAGACAAGACTTACATGGAGCAAGTGGCATGAATAAAATCATAAGGATCTTTAAACATGAAACCACATTTGTGGCATATATCGTAGTCGTTTCACTTTGAAATTGCTTTGTGGAGCTTGTTTCCTGGTCACGTGCAAGATGATTTTTGCTGTATCTTTTCCTTTTATAGGGCCCTCCATAAGATTTCTGGGACTGTTCTTTAGACCAAGGTCAATGACCACTATCTCAATGGTCATAATTTCTACATTTACGATGCTACTTAACTGCAGATACTGAATGGTTAATTAGAAGTCATGTAGAAAGTTCAGTTAAGGACTGAACCCTAAATCCTGACTCTCTTTAAACCTAGCTGAAAGGATCTATGTAGAGTGAAAAGCATTAAAATATTCCCACTGGAGTTTTGCTCATGACATTTTGAAGCAGTCCTCCCTACAGGATGCTTTATAGGAGGAGACTCTGAACTTTTCCCAAAAGGTGATGAGGAGAGATAGGGGATCAAAAAGAAAGGGCAAATCAATATGTATTTGGAGCAGAAAGACAGCTTCCACTTTCTGCAGCCCAGCAAATTAAAGTCATATTGTCTATGCTACAGTAACCTTCCCTAGAGATACATGTCAGTGTGAGACAGATGGCATCGGCAAGCAGGGATCCTGCAGCAGCACAGGCTTGTTTTCACCACTGCTGCAGTTTCCTGAGCAGCACGTTTAAATCAACCTTCAATCTAGGTGGCAATCTACCTACTTCTGCACCACTGAGCAGCAAATTGCTAGATCTGAGCATCGAGATAAGGGATATATCTTGTAGCCAATTTTCTCAGCTGGTAGTGAAACAGGCTATGCGAGCCCACGTCACGCAACGTTCAGGCTGTAGGAGAGACTGAACAGCTCCACCTCCCATTTAACTTAACCGCATCCAGGGGCCTGTTTCAGCAGAGTTTCACACGTGTCCAGAGCAGAGCTCACCTCTTCAGCCGTATCCTTTTCTATTCGGACAATCTTGTTTTCCCAATAGATTCGCTGTGATTCCAGCTGGCTTGTTAGCAAATATGAGTACTATAAACACAGAAGATATACACAGAACAGTCAGCTTTTCCGTAAGGGTGGCTATGCTGATTAAGAAGCCCAAAGGGCTTCAATATACAAATCAATTTAATCAGATGAAATTGAGCATACAGAACATTCTGAACATACGTGCAAACTGCAGATCCAGCAGATGTGTTTCACCAATTTGACTTCAAAATCAAATCACTTGATTTTTTTGAAATCAAGGAAAGCCTTCAGAGCACAACCGCAAGGATTAAGTTCCCCCAACCTGAACGCAGTATCACACCAAGAACTTTTTAAAGAGGAGACACATTTTTCACTGCAGTAGCAATAAATCTCTACAAGTTTTACACTCCACAGGAAAACAAAGCATCAACCATCCCTGTCACGAGAGTCTGAGATCCCAAAAGGTGAGTTGCCGAGTTCTCTATTCACAGCCCCAAACCCAAAGGCAGAAGGGTAAATGCACATATCTAGCTTCACTGTAAGAATGTCTCTGGGAAAACACCCTCAGCTGTGCTATACTATTCACAATTATTGTTCTCCAACATCTATGGCCCATTCCAATGTTTTTTTTGGCATCTGAACAAGGATATATGCCTTACATCCCACCTTTTCCCTTCTGGTTCCGCAACTGAGTTATGAGAAGGTTGGAAAACATGATCATTTCTTATTATCAGGCTAATAAGCACCAGATTAGGCATTCACTACGGAATTAAACATGTGCAAAAAGCCTTGAAGACTCTCAGTAATATCTGAGTGCCAAAATACACTGCCAAATTCTTTCGCTCTAGAAATATTTAGATCTCCTAAGCTAGATAAGTCTTACATACTTTAAGCGCTAACCTCCCAGAGAAAAGGGTTAAAAATAGCTGGTTTAGCATCTAAGCATTACTCAGAAAATTCACAGAAAAGCAACAAAATATTTATTTGAGCAATAAGTTTATGAAGTCTCGTCTCTGTGGGCTGTTCCTCCTCAGATACCCTTGTGTCTAATGCAGCCGAAGTCATGCTGCAGTATAACTGCTCAGTGGAGCAGTAATTTTGAGTTTCTCTGCTTTACCCTTCTAGTTAAGGTGGAGAAGCTGGCCAACAGGTACAAAAAAATAAATCATTATCTGTTCAAGAGAAGGGAGCAGAACAGGGCTGGTATCAGATGAGCCTGTCAGCTTGCTTTGATAGCCAAGGTAAGCACACAGCTATGGATTCCTACTTACTTGTTCAGTTTACAATCTAAACTACTCAAATTGACAGTTCCATACACATCCTGGCTCCTAAGCCAAGTCACAGATCCACTAGGAAGGGTCTGGTGAGTGAGTCTGGGCATTCGGACCCGTTTCTCTCTCCAATGACCTGAGTGTTTGTAGCAGCATAACCAGCTAATCTTCAATCTACCAGTGAACACAGGATGAAACTGCAGCCAGCTTACACTTAGCTGCATCGGCTCTGCAGAGCCAAGAAAAGGTTTTTTTGGAGTGGGTTTTTTGTTGGTTGGTTGGTTTTTGTTTGGTGTTTTTTGTTTGTTTGTTTGCTTGTTTTTTTAAAAAAAAAAAAAGCAGTAAAAACATCCTGCTTCTGCCTGAAGATGATTGCCTACATGCAGGGAGCAGGTCTGCTGCATAAGCTGATGTAATTGTCCTGTCATTGTATCTGGATTTGAAACACTTCCACACAGCAGCACAATGCAGAGTCCAACAAGCCAAAATATTTACCTCTAATTGTAAGGCATCAATTTTCTCTTCCTGACACATATCTCCCTCACACTCATACTGAACTATCTTCCCATCAGTTTTACTTGCAACCAGTCGATGGACGTAGTTATCTGAAGAGAGAAAATTCAACCACAGGGAGTTTTAGCTTAAGAACACCCAGGTTGACACCAGTGGAAATACTTTATGCAGCACAATTAACCACGCAGACTGCTGCAACAGCATATTAGCAAGGCAGAAAGCCAACAACAGATGTATTTGTTATTTAGCAGACTTTGCACAGACACCTTACAGGATATTTATTATAACAGCCCATTCCCATACCTCAGGGCAAATTGATGGAAAGGGAGTAACAAATACATTCCACAGAGACTACAGGACCGCCCTGGTTCATTACAGAATCATGTTCTCCCTCCTCCATCTGTTACAGACCCACAAAAACTGCTATTAGAGAAGAGATGGATGTTCCCAAAAGTAACGTACAGACGCAAGCCCCTTAATCTCCAAGCAAACTCTACTGCAAGTACTCTTACTAAGGGGTCTCGAAAGCTGTTTTACAAACAAGGTCATCCTACAAGAGGGCAAGACAGAGCTCTTACCTCCAGCATAGTCCCAGACTCTGTGGTTGGTCAACTGCATTGCGTAGGTGTGCTGGGTTTCCTCAAAGTGTTTGTAAGCGTGTCGACTCACGTACCGGCCACAGCCTATGTGCCCACATATTAAACAGATCCAAAGGTTCTGTCAACAGAATAAGAAAGCTCTGTATATACATCACTGTCAAGTGGTGGTATCAGCACTTTGAGAAAGTGTGATCTGACACAGACGGCCTGCTGATGCTGCGCACGTCCAGTCACTTCCTCAGAAAGTGAACAGTGTTTGCTTTTCCTCCTCCTTCTTTGAAGCCCTGCTCAGCTGGAAGGCTAAAGAGAAGGAGGTACCTGCTCATTCGAGCCAATTACAAGCCTGCAGGTGCTGGACACGTTGATAGATTACCACAAGCATGGATGGAAGAATGGCCTTGACTAATGAACGAGGCACCTCAGTAGGACCACAAAAGCAAGCTCTGAAGAGCGCAGACTAGAAGGGAGCACCAAGTTCAGTGTTAGTTTAGCTGCCTGCCATCATACTCATCGCGCACACTCTGATCAGCTTACCTGCTAATGCTTCTTTCTAAAAATCAGAGAGATTTGTCAGAAGAGGAAACCTGGGAGGTAAGATCCCTTCTCAGTACTGGTTTCAACTCAAAAGGAAAGCAGATACACCACTGGCTGGTAAAATCAGCCTGAAAGCAGCCACAGAATTAACCCCAAAAGCAACTAGAGCTGCTGTGCAGTCAGATCTAGTCTAGATCTCACTCACCATCCACCCACCTACTTACTTCTTGAACTCCACACTCAAAACACTTGTTCTCTTCCACTGGCTCAGGCGTTTGGCAGTATCTGCAGACAGGACACCTAGAGGGCAATAAGCATCATGATGAGACACAAGGAGCTCCATCTTAATATTACAGTAATTAAAAAGAGAGCCACAGAGCTCAAAGTAAATGCCTTATGCAGTGGGACACTCCCTATATGCGCACGTCTCTCAGTTCACAGTTACCCCACTCCAACTGGTCTCCATTCCACACAAGGCTACTGGTTTTAAGCCAGTAAGTGACAGAAGAACAAAGAACAGTTCTTCCGAAGCCATTTCACAGTCTCAGCTTGATCTGGTTTTGCTGTAGTCCAAGTGCAGGGAACATCTGCAACCAAGAGCATCAGTGGGGCTGCCAGCAACGTCAGCCTCTGCCAGTAAGCAAAAAAGCCATGATGGAGCTCAAGAAACACTTCCCTGCCTCAGCCATAAACATTGCAAGAAGCACTTGTATAGATATGTTACGCATCTCTAAACATCGCCCTTCCGGACGGCTGCCGACAGCTTCAGTTCTCCATTACCTGCAGGGTTTTATGCAGCAGCTACACACTGTTGTGGAAGGATACTGTAACTACACACTGCTGAGGACAGCTGAGTAACAGAGGGAGGTACTGACACTTTGCAAACATACCGTAGTACTTAAAACAACCCTAAGGAGATGAGGAGATGCTTCAATTTCACCCCAACCCAACGGATTCGGTCTCAGCCCTTCCAGGAAGAACATCCCACCCTAAAAGAATCAGTAGCAAGCACCCCACTATCATTTCTTTTGAAACTCTACCACTGTGCTGCCAGAAAGACAGAAGACCCAAGACCAGAAGGAACGTCTGTCCAGACCCTAAGCACTAGAAACTCAGCTAGGGAGCAGGGTAACCGAGGCTGCGCCTCCTGTTGCCAGGACCGTTTATGTATTTTTCATTAGCTGCTAGATAAGCTACAGAAATATTCAAGGGAGGAGACAATTGGATTGCAGTCACCTTTATAGAGAAATTCAGGCACTTACAGCCTCTGTGGCGCCTAAGTAAAGTGGACAGGGATTTTCTTTTATCGTTCTTTTAGACTGGGAGCATAAGTTCTGCTTAAATTGTGTATTAGATATTTAAGCGCTATTTTGGATCTTGCTCCTACACTGGCTAAGCTCCACTGCTTCAAATTTAAACTGGTTTTGATTTCTGGAGCAAAGCAGCCCATAAACTTGAATTGCTACAAATCTGATTAATCTTACTGAGGTTCTGTTACTTTGGCTTACAAATGATACATGGAGGGCTAAAATTTCTTCAGACTTCATCAGAGAATCAGGCAATCAGGGGCACCACTGACACGAGAAGAAAACACAGTGATGATCGGCAGCCTTCTGCTGCAGTATCTGTGACTGCCTGAAGTGCAGTAAAACAGCAGTGTCCAGAAGAATGCAAAATATGCACAACTGATAGCAGCACCTGGGGGCCAGACTGCTCTGCAGTCAGGAGCTCAGATACACTCAAATCCCCATCTACAGGGATGCAAAGGATGGTAAGAGTGAGAACAGGAAAGGGTTAGCAGTAGTGAAAAGAAGAGCTGCTTTAAGGACAGCCATAGGTCCAACCCTAGCCCTGCGCAGTGCCACGGAGGCTCTCCCTGAGGCAGCAAGCAACACAGGTGAGTTACCCCAGCCAGGAACATGGCCTCCCATCGCTCAGCCCATGCCCACCTTGAATAACACAGCCCGTCTAGAGCAGCTGCCTCCCCTTCCCAATTTACTGAGTGATCTTGTCATCCTCCCTTCCTTCCATCTCACTTTTCAGTCCTGTCTCCCCATACACCTGCTCTTGCCCAGCTCTTCTTCATCCTCTCCCAGCATCTAAGCGAGACGGGCAAGACCGCTGCCCTGCAGGGCTCCCAAAAGGACTCCTAAGCTCCAGCCAGCTGGGCAGATCTGCCTGCAGCGCAGCCTCAGCTGTGCCAAGGAAACAAATGACCAGGCACACAAGACTGAGTGAAACAGGGACGTGTGTGCATGCAGTACTGTTTACCTCAGAATTTTTATCCTACAAATATTTTAATGATTGGCATTACTCTACAACTTCCCTTCTGCCTTAGCAGTGAGGCCTACAGGAAACATTGTTCATTACTTTTGACGGGGAGATTTCTCTCTGGGAGTTCCTTAACGGGAAAAAAAGAGCATTAGAACTTGCAGTTATTCCTGCCCTGACACTCTGATGAGCAGAGCCAGTCTTGTCAGCATGTAACCACCACAGTCAAACAGAGTTTTAGATGTGGAAATAAAGAAAAGCCGCTTACGTGGTGTCCTCCCACCGCTGCAGACACTGGCTATGAAAGCTGTGGTTACACAGTGTGGTAAGGATCCCGTTCACAGACTCATCCATCCTCTCCAGGCACACTGTGCACTTTGGGAGCTCTGTCAGATCCATCACAGGTAGGCTGGCCCCCTTCAAGAGAACAAGAAGAGGCAACTTGCTCAGCACCTTCCGATCACCATAAATTAAAAAAACCCACATAAAAAAAAAAAGGCAGTCAAACTTCTCTCCCGTTACTGCTGGCACTAGGGTACAAAAACACTACAAAGTAATCCTGTCAGTCTACACAATGGTTAGAAATTTATTAAAAAAAAAAAGTGATCCAGAACATTCACTAGACCACAACCAGGATCCTCATCACAGCACAGGCTCTGTGCGGCTGCTGCATCTGCAGCCAGCCCCACTCTGTTCTCTGGATTCACTAGATCTACTACCATGGCAGGTTTAGGTCAGAGATACTCCAGCGGTGAGGTGTGAAGCCCATGAAGTCACCAAACAAATTCTCCCAAGTAGTCACTGGAATGGGAAATGGGGTTTGCGTTGATGCAGTTAAGCAGTTCTTGCAGCATTCTGCCCAGTCCAAATAATCCTGTTAAAATCCTCTGAAGTGAAGGGAAAACAAAACAAAACCAAACTTACATCTTCCGATTTGAAGACTTCAGCCCTTTCCACATACACGAGCTGGCAAACATCCTCTTCTATAGAGTTGAACTGCCGGCCATTGCATGCCATATAAAAGCTATCTGCATCAGCCTGCGCACAAAACAAAGGAAGCCAGTTAAAAAGAGCAAATTCGCAGCTGATACAACCAAGGAAGAGGAGGAGAAATCTGCTGTATCCTTTCTTCTCCCCTCCATCAAGCCCTGTAATACCAGAGGAGATATTTCAGACAGTCAGCTCCTGCCAGCAGGCATTGCATTTTGGCACTGGCTTTAGCGGTACCACTTGAAGACAAGAAGTGAAGTTCACAGCAGTGACAGCTACTGTGATATTTGAGAAAAAAAATTTCCCTTCAGCATCTGTTTTGCCCTTTGTCAGCAATTTCAGAGCATTTGCAAAGCAAATTTGGTCTCTGCAAAAATTTAAGAGGGCCACGTTGCAGGACACTTGTGTCAGGGAAAGGAACAACAATTTAACTGTGGGAAAGAATCCACTTCACTGGTCACAATTCAGGCATGCTCTGAACCGTGCCCGAGAGTCATTTGCAAAGAGGCAGAACCAAAACAAAACTTGTCAAAGACATCATCCACTTTCACTCAGTAACCTCCCCTAAACCCTTTCTCTTGCAAACTATCACACCAGATTGAGGCAAGTTAGCCAAATGCCAGATTCCCATATTCCTGCTCCCTCCAGCCAGAAGCATAAAGGCCCTTGAGATTTGCTTTTGCAACCGTCAGACACAGCTATTGGGGGTCACTGGGGAACAGGGCTTCACGGAATTCCCTAAGAAACAGGAATTTCAGGGTGCTTTGAGTACAAGTTTATTGATTTGCTGCAAAACTGTTTAGCACTAGGCATTTGCCCATGTCATTTGACAGACCGATATATAAAATGCATCTTTGCCACTACTGGAAATAGCGCAAAATGCACACAAATAGTGCACCTGCACAACGGGGCATGGGAAATATCTCACGAGCATTCATGGCTGGGGAAAACCTCTCCCGCAACCCCAAAATAGGTCATTTGCAGTTGGGAGAAAAGAAGGTACAAGTGAGAGGGTCCACACAGGAATTGGCAGGGGGAATGCTCAGAGCTACATAGTTCAAGAAGACCTGTGAGCAGCAAACTGTGTTATCTGGTTATCAATTCATCCCCTAGGCTCTCAGTTTTGGGGGCAAGTGTGCTTTTCACACTGTACTGGCAGTGGCTGTGAGACCACCCAGCTCCTCAGAAAAGCAGAACAAGTCTGTCCTAAAATGCAAAGGAAGCCCTACTGGTTAGGTCCCTTCTGTTCAGCATAGTACAACGCACCACTCTCTTTTTTAATGTGCTCCGAGATAGCAGAAAACTGTGTATCCTTACTACTTTTTTTAAAATATCCTGCAAAGCTAAAATATATGGCAGACACTTGCCTCCAAGTGAAGGTGTGAGACTAATCCTAGTCAGCAGCCCCAGGAAACTCTAGGCAATAGGACAGGACTGTTTCTCCGAGGGTAAAGTGCAACCTTGGCTAGCAGCTGGCCAGTGAAGCCAGACAGCACTCTGAAACAGCAACTGTATGTGAGAGTGCAGCCCCTTCTACAGCAAAGGGACTTCCAGCCCTTACCTGTGAGCTAAACTTTATCAGCACCATGTACTGGTTTGGAGTGGAATCTCGGATGATTTTCATGTGCTCAATTACTTCATAGAAGGAGGCCACAAACTTCATCAGGTCATGGCTGGTCATCGTAGCAGGGACCGTGAGGATACACAGCATGGCGCTGCGCCTTACGTCTTCTTTTAAAGAGGTCATCTTGCTAATAAGACAAAAGTGACCCAACTTCATCTCAATTCAGAGGACAATGGCACAGCTGGACACATCACATTTCCAACAGCTGCAGTTACTACAATAACTTTGTTGTCAATCTTAACCCTCTTTTGCACGTTTGTAAATATTAAGGAAGAGAAGCAAGGGGTTGTGGTAAGCGTCCAGCATATCCACATGAAACTATTACTCTTTAGCAAAGGATTAAACTGGGCAACTCCAATAAACAATGGTTTCGTCAGAAATAATTTGACATCAGTTTTTCTATAAAAACAGCTGAAGTTGGCAAGCCACAGATGCTCAGAACTATTCCTAGAACAAGGGAACAATGTTTGTTATTATTTCAAATGCCCATTTTGTATCTCCTGATAGCTTTCAGGAACATCTAAAATAGAAGTTCTCACACAATTATAGGGGGATGGCGTGGAATTGTAATCCCTGAAATATGGGATGAAATCTCCCACTTCAGACAGCTCCTCAGGCCTGCCACCAGGATCCCAGAGATGACAACAGAATTGTGGGATTCCTTGAGAAGCGCCTTTCTAATGCCATTTTTTAGGAACCCACATTTTTCTTATGCTCTTACAGCCCCTGGCACAAGCCATCTCCACCTGCATCACCTGCAGCTGGGAGACCCGGGCCAGCCTCAAGCTCAACCAGTAACACAAGGATCTGTCTGCCCTCCCAGGTGCGAGTCACCCTTCCTGTTTGTCGGGGAGACCGACTCACCCTTCCGGGTGGCAGCATTATTCAGGAGTGCTGTTCCCATTAGAGCTACAATTAGTCAAGCATTCTTACTTTGTTTTGTACAGATGCATAATGCCGTGAACAATTTCAACTGAGGGATTCCCGCTGAAGAAGGAAATCTGGTCAGGGAGCTGTTTTGAAGGTGAGTCTGGAGCAGCCTCACGCTCTTTACTTTGATCGTCATGTTTATTTTTGTCCTCAGCAGATGCAGTCTCTGAAGATTTTCTTCCTTCCATGGCAGCTTTTGTTTCATCTTTTACAAATCAAAAGTTTCCACATTACTAATGGTGCATCACAAACGTCTGCTGTTCCCTAAGCACAGCCTGCATGTACCCAACAGCACTCTGAGAAGTCAAATTACAACCCTGGAAAGCAGCAGAATGAGACAGCTCTCATCTTTGCTGTCCCAGGGGAAACTCCAGAGCTACCAGACACCCAGTGCGAGCGCTGCAGATCAAGCTAGGTGAGTTTTTGTACCGTGCCCAGTGAAATCCCAACAGGCACCGGTATCAACACAAAGCAACCGGGACAGGTTTGCTGAGCAGGGGCAAGGGCATCAGCTGCTCTGATGGCAGCCTGGATGTTTGACAAGACTTGACATTTCCATCTTTAAACCCGCTTCCTATCAGGGAATTTAAATGCTTGCAGAGCTGAATGGTCTCATTGCTACGGACCAGCAATGCTGGCAAGAAAAACACTGACCAGCCTGCAGTATAGCCTAACATAAAGTAAACCTTTATGGAGTGTTTATGTTTGCCAGGAATAACCCCTATCAGACCCCAATGCACATTCCTTCACTTCTCTACTTGTTTGCCATAGCACCTGACCGACTCAAGACCGCAAACCCAGCAGCACCTCCACCAGCCCGGCACTGACAGACAGTTGTCACCGGCGGGACCAGCGCCTGGGAAGTGCTGTGCTCCTCTTCCGC